TTCAATCTAAAAATTTTCTTCAACCACATTCTGCAGTTCTTGTCCACACAATTCTGCATAAATTGAAGAACATTATTGTTCTTTAATGAAACTATACAATGTGAATTAAGCATTAATTATGCCAAAAAACACAGAACCTCAGTGCTGAAACACAGAATGATAGTAATAATACAAAGGAAGACAAATGAGCTAACTCGAAAATTTCGTTTACACCAAGATACAATAATGAAGGTAAAAAATAAAGCTAAATTTACAGAAAATGGCACAAATAATGCCACAAAAACAGACATACAATAGTTTCAGTTTGACAATTAAGATTCTTCTAGAGTGTCTCTATCAATTAATTATTTAACAACAAGGAAGTTCGTGCTTATAGAACCGAAACTATAGAATGTCTGTTTGTATAGCATGATTTGCATTTTATTTACATTGTTTAGCTTTATTCGTATGTAGCACAAAGAGTGTACCTTATAATCAATTAGATAATATTCCATAGTTTCTACAATGTTGTTAATTACATTTGAATTATAAAATAACTGCTAATATTTTTAAACAGATTAGGAAGATTAAAAACATTACCAAAAAGAGTCATAGAATCATCTTCATCACTCTCACTAGCTCCTTTCCTTTGTGAATTTATGCCACTATGGCTCGTCTCTAAGCCATGTTTCTGGGTAACTAAGGAAAAAATAATCTTCTATAGTATGTATAATTGGTCCAATTATACATTGAGTATAAAAAAAGCATTGATATTTTTTACTAGATTTCACAAAACAATGATACCTGAAAATTCTAATTTTTCAGCAGGTAAAGCTTTTTCTTCAGTTGTGTTCTCGTTAACACTAGTTACAGAGTATTGTAATAGGGACTGAGTCATTTCATCGGAAACGCTTTTTTCTGTATCTAAAAAATAAATAAACACTTTTATTATTAAAATAAAAGCAAACTCGTATTATTTTAGTTCCATATATATAAGTAATAAAATTATTCCCAAACAGCAAAGCCATAAAAAAGTTAACAAAAGAAAAACACCAAAAGATATTTAAAAATAAATGTAGCAACAGGAAAAATGTAGAAAGTTTACAACAAATAAAAAATGCTAAATGGACTGTTATTTTATGTTGAAGGAATTTCATGGATTTTTAACCCCTTCTGGACAATGTTCACCTAAATGTGATCACGAGATTCTCCCGTCACAAGCAACAGTATCATAAGTTAAACAAGTCATTCTGACTCTAGTATTAGGAAAGTAACTAGCGAGTACACTACTCTTTATTAGACATAAACAAGGAGCATGCAGAAACGCTTCTTTTACCATTCACCAGACTTGAAGGGATTAAGATATTTGTTTTTAGAATCCTTGTTAAAAATTAAGTCAATATGCGCACACGTATTCTTTGGTACATATACTGTTGGAACATGCAAGACTTTGGAGGTGCTTCTTTATCCCTTCACTGGTCCTGAACAGGTTAAAAATAATTCAACCTATTAAGATTTAACCTATTAGAATTTATTCTAAGAATGGATAATAAAAAAAAATTAATTTCTATTTTATTTTATTATTATTCTTTGTATGTATATATATATATACACAGTAGAGTCTCAATAACTTGAAGTGAAAGGGACTGAGCCTACCTCGAACTTTCGAAAACTCGAATTATTGAAAACTCACAGGAACGGATACAGGATAAAGGCCTGTTCAGATGCAGAAAGAATGGTCATTTCTTGATCTAACCCAACTTTGCGTTCCAGTATCATAGACTTTCCCATATGCTGTTGGTTGATGGAAAAATCACTCATTTAACATGGAGATTAGTTCAAGTGCTTTTTAGAAGTCAATTTGTATGAGATACTTTGGCTGTGTTCGTTTAAATCTCTAGAGAATTCCACCAAAATATTTTTAATGACTATTATAGTAATTTTTTCTAGTTTACATTGAATTCCTTACAGGCTCAGTCAAGTTTTATTTTAAAGAATTAGTCTAATTTCAGCCGAACAGTTTTTCTAAAGTAGGTAATTGCAGGTGCTGGTTTGAATTTTTTTTATCTCTACAGCATTTTTACAGTTACTTCAAAACTGGTGTAACTAAGTACAAGAAACAATAACACACAAACAGAATGCAACATATATTTGATAATCCAAAGCAGAAATAATTGTCTTTTTTCATCATACCAAGAAATAAAAACAAGATTCCATAAAACAATAATACCTGAAAGGTTTACTTTACTAGCAGGTAATTCTTTTTCTTCAGCTCTGCTCTTTTTATCATCCATTACAGAGTTTTGTAATAGGATCTGAGTATTTTCATTGAAAATACTATCCTGTGTGTCTAAGAAACCAAAAATAAATATTTTGATTATTAAAATGAAAACAAACCAGTATTATTTTAGTCAAATGTACATGATTATTAAAATAACGCCCAGAAGACAGAGCCATAAATTAGTTAAGAAAAGAAAAATACTAAGAGATATTTAAAAACAAATGTGGCAAAAGAAAAAATTTAGAAAGTTTACTACAAATACAGACAGCATGTAATTGCAACTCGCTACCCCCTCCGAGAACCATCCAGCGAATGAAAATAGTGTTGCTAAACAAGTCGGACCTATTGCAACAGGAAATTATGAACTGCTTTATTTCAAGTATGAAATCACGTTGCAAGGCCTGTATTAGAGGTAAGAGGGGTTAGCCCCTTTTTGTTGTTGTTTATCCTGCAACCGCTGTTTCATACATTCCGACTCCAACGAAGATCATGCGTGTGTATTACACTTGTTGAATGGTTATTGGCTTTGTATTGTATCAATGTATGTACATATCAAATAAAATTAAAATCGGTGCAATAGTTCTAGAGACAATCAACCAAGTCTGCAAATTCTTTTAACTTCTTACGCCAGTGCATATATAGACTTTTTATACAGTCGACTCGTGTTATAACGACCCTGTGATAGAACGACCCACGTGACATAACGACCCTGTGAAGGAGTCCCAATTCACATCCATAAGAGATAACGTTATTTTACTCTTGCTATAACGACCGTAAAAAAATTCAACTCTTAATATAACGACCCTCTTTGAATTTGAACACCACTCTTTTCTAACTTCCTATTGGAAAGTGGGGTTAAATGGTTAACCTTGAACAAGGCCAGAATCCGAAGGTCTCACACGGTGTCAAGACAAAGCTATTTCAGTTGGCTAGTATGGGGGTGTGTAGACAACAAACGTCATCGAGCATTGAGTACGAGCTGTCGAATCGGGTGAGTTTGTTTACTCTGCCCCCTCTCCCATTGCCGACATCCGCACCTCTTTTCCTTTACTTTGCCTCTCCTTTTCCGTTTCATTTTGTTTTTAGCTGGAAAAGGTTTTTGCATTTGATTAAAGTGTGCTGTTCTTAATTTTGCAAGCTTGCATTTCAACACGCTGATTTGTCATTTGATAAAAATGCCACCTTTAGTATCTCACCATTGTGCTTTATATATTGATGTGAAAAGAAAAATTTTAGAGTGCATCGACGAGAAACTCATGCCTAAAACTGAAATCGCTAAAAAATTTGGAATACCTAAGAGCACTCTGTTCACAATAGTGAAGAACAGATAATCCATTTTAAAAGCTGCACCAGAAGGAATGCGACTCAGAGATGGAATATTCCCTCTTCTTGAGAAAGCCCTTTTAGACTGGATGAAAGGCATGCGCAGCAAGAACATTGCTCTGGATGGAAACGCTTTAAAGGAAAAGGCAACAGTTTTTTAAAAAAAATTCTATCCCAATGAATCCTTCAAAGCTTTCGATGGATGGCTTCAGAACTTTAAGCATCGGCATGAAATAGTGTTCAAAAAAATATGCGGGGAAAGCTCTTCAGTAAACAAAGATACCATGCATATATTCAAGGAGGAAACTTTAAAAAAAAATTACGGAAAACTATAGTGAGGACGATATTTTTAATGCAGATGAAACTGCACTTTTTTATAAACTTTTACCTGATAGATCTTTAGTTTTTAAAGGTGAAACATGTAAAGGAAATACGCGGTCCAAACAAAGAATAATTGTTCTGCTTGGAGCGAATATGTCAGGTGATGAGAAATTACTATTGCTTGTAATTGGTAATTCGCAGCGTCCCCGCTGTTTTAAGGGTGTAAAATCTTTACCTGTGGCATATCGTGCCAACAAGAAGGCTGGGATGACGGGTTCGCTGTTCGAAGAATGGCTTCGAATCCTTGATTAAGAAAATGCATCAACAGAACAGAAAAATTTTGATAATTGACGACAATTGCACTGCGCATTCAAAGGAAATTAAAACTTTGAAGGCGATAAAAGTGGAGTACCTTCCCCAAATGCGACATCAGAGCTCCAACCATTGGATCAAGGTGTGATCCACAGCTTCAAAAGAATCTACAGGAAAATGTTGATTCGCAAAATTTTATTTCATGTGGAAAACAGCATGAAATTTGACGTTGATCTGCTGGTTGCTCTACGAACTGTAGAAACCGCTTGGAAAGAAGTTTCAGTAAACACCATCAAGAACTCTTTCCGATCAGCAGGATTTTGTAAAAAGGAAAATCCGTGTGGCGTGGACATGGATCACTTAGATGACCTTGACCTAGACGATGAAATACTGAAGGAATTTTCCTCGTATGTAAATTTGAGTGATGCCATGAACAACTTTGACGAATATGCAAAAGTCGACGATGATGTACATTGTACAGAGGAGTTAACAGAGAAGGAGATTTAAACGGATTGTTAAATAAAGATATGGACGAGGCTTCATCCGACGAGGAAATTAGTGTTTTGCCGAAGGAAAGGCCTTCAATTAAACATGCTGCAGAAGCAATAAACACACTAAGGGATTTTTTTGAGTTTGACCTAAAGTCAGATGACCATTTGGAGAAAATTAACAGTTTGGAAATAGCGCTTTTCCACAGCTCAAAATTACGACAAACTTCAATTCACATGTAACTTCAACAAATTAACGCACATCAAAAAATTAATGTCTTCGTCTAATGAAGCCTCGTTTATGTTCCTCGGTTTACTCTCCTTTACAATACTGCAGATTAAGTACATAAAAAAAATTCGTTTTATATACCACAAATTATGTACATCAAAAGATTTATTCATTAGAAATTAGATTTTTTTTTGTCATACTATGTTTTTTAATCTACTTTAAAATAAAATTCTTAATTGTTAACAGTTGTAAGTCAATTGTTAAAATGTCATTATGTTTTATTAATGTATACCACAAATAGTATATGCATGCATTATGACGTTTAAAACCATTATGTGACCGATTTTCAAAGGAAATTTGCTCATTTTGATATAGCGACCATTTGATATAACGACCAGATTGGGACAGTCCCGATGGGGTCGTTATAACGTGAGTCAACTGTATTATTTTTTTGTTTGAATTCATTTTCTTAAGTAAACTCTTTCACATAATTATTAATTTACATCCTATTGAAAAAAAGATTATAAAATAAAAATCACGATATTTTTGTGAAAATAATCATAAGTTTTTTCCTTAAGAAGTCAGAGATTCTGGAAAACTAAATGACTTAGACAGTGAAGGGCAATTACAATAATAATTTTTCCCTTGTAACATGCGGTAGATATGACTTGTAAGATTTTTCCCTGAAAATCTTTAACATGAAAAAAAGCACATAGATCTAGCTGTGCATTTGATACTCAATATTTAAATATATCATAATAAAGAAAGCATAGCACTTCCAAGCTGCATCAGCTTGCATTTATTACTAAGTCAGCTCGACTGTCATACACACATTTATATATATAAGAATTTTCAAAAGAATACATAAATCATGCCATTAGCTATTACTATAGAGGAAAGAAGTTATGACAAAATTAGAAAGCCATGAGGGGAATAAAATTCTATTCTAAAAGGCTCAACACACATACTTTTAAAATAATAAAGTATTCTCTATTAAACATACCAAATCTAGAAATAATTATTGCACAAAAAAATTGTTCTTGAAAAATTATACCTGAAAGTTCTAATTTATTAGCAGGTAATTCCTTTTCTTCAGCTCTGCTCTCGTTATCATCCGTTACAGAGTATTGTAATAAAGGCTGAGTAATTTGATTGAAAATGCTTTCCTGTGAGTCTAAAAAAACAGAAAAAAATATTTTGATTTTTAAAATTAAAACAAACAAGCATTGTTTTAGTTTTATATATAATTAATAAAATTATGCTCAGAAAACACAGCCATAAAATGTCAACAAAAGAACAAAAGTACTAAAACATACTTAAAGATAAATGTAACAACAAAAAAAAATGCAGAAAGCTTACTACAAATACAGACAGCTTGTTAAATGGATTGCTATTTTTTGTTGAATGAATTTAATGGATTTGTAACCCCACGATCACATATATATATTCATGATAATGTGATTTTACCTTCAGAAGTGATGACATAATAAATGAAAAAAAGCCTTTCTGACACCAGCTGCCTAAGATCAAGCAGTGGTGATCAAATTTGTTAGTAAAATCAAAACTGTTACTTATATGTTAACCTGTAGTTTTTGTAATATGAAATATGTTGGACAAACCAGTTACTCTCGTAATATTATAATTAATCAACATCGCTCAGATATCAACAGTAATAAAACTATCAATAACCCATAATTGAATCATTTTGGAGAACATAATTTTAACAGTGTTTAAATTAATATTTTATATTTAGTAGAAGATATTGATCTATGTTTACAAAAAGACTACTGTGACTACATGCTAATAAAAAAATTTTTTTATCGTATGGGCTAAACGATAACATCCAACATACACAGATTAACTTTAATAACTTACTTGATTTTTCATATTAAATGATAATCAAGGTAAACAGGGATCAGGAAGTAATAAAAACTCTCTTAATAGTGACCAATTAAATGTAAATAATATAACCATTATAATATTAAACCAATGAAAGATTTTGTTTTCTCCCTTAAGAATAATGATGTATATAAGATTCAAGATAATATTATTAACTTATCTTTTATTAATTTATACTTCTTTGTTAATTTATCTTTTATTGATTTATAATTCTTTGCTTGGATCTTGTAAAAACTAAAATGAGTGGAATTCTCCAAATAAAAAGAAAATTTTAGATAATTTATATTTCGTTATTAATTTTCCAAATCCTATTTTTGATAAGATTAAATTTCGTGATATTTTTGAAAATTTAAAAATTTGTTTCGATTGAAAGATTTGAACATATTTAAAAGCTTTAAATATACTAAATCTCTTGGTAGAACTATATTTATTTATAATGATATGAGCAAAAATTTAGGGAAAATTAATATATCCGATTCTGAATGCCACTGTAAGGAAGAAAAATATTTGAATTTTATTGATAAACATCATAAACATATTATTACTGGTAATTTAAATATTATAGAAAGCTTAGAACTTTGTAATTTAATGATAAAAGGCACAAAATTTAGAACCATTTACCATGTATCAATTAATAAAATTCTAAAATACTTTCTTAATGATCTCAATAACTTTCGTTTAAAGATATCAAACAGAATGGAAATTGGCTGCTTATTATAACTCTAAAAACTTTGTTTTCAATAAAAATGACAATTTAAATAACAGTAGCAATTCAACAAATTTTAAGAAAATTTATGTTGAACATTTAAATATGGAGTTAAGAAATAGTAAAAAATTTTGCCTTAGAAAAAGAGGTTAAAAATTAAAATTAGTAATATACAATTTCCTTACTTAATTAATTTCATTTCTTTTAAACTATCTATAATTATCATACAGATATATAGATTTCAATAAAACTTTTTTTTAACTAAGTTTGAAGCAAGTTTAATGAAATTTTTTCTTCAAAAAAAAAAAAAAAATAATGAATACGCTACTATGATACTACTACTAAATATTATTGTAAAAAAGTAATTTTGTGGATGATCCCTCAACTCACTTCTAAACATTCTATGATATGATTACTGTATTGTTGATTGGAATCAATCATTTTAAAATTCAGATGATGTGATAAATCAATAATTACAAAAGTACAAAACTTCATCCAACAAAATTTGCTACTGCATTAGTGAAAATAATAAAATAGTGTATTATCCCTGAATTCATCATAAATATGTAAAACAGATAACTAAGTTACTTTTTCACAAAATATTTGAATTCCAAAATATAGTTTGCCTGCAGACAAAGCTATTTGTTTGAACGATGCATATAATTAGTAGATGATCACTAAGTTTGAACCATGGAATTTTGTGATTTTTACTAGCATTGTTAATTAAAATAAACAGATGCTAGATCAAAAATAAAATCTTTTGATTCTTCTAATCAGTCATTTTAAAATATACATTCTTATTCATAGAAAATGGAATGTTCTGCACAACAACAACACACAAAATTCAGCACAAATGAGGACAAAATATTTTTCAACAGGATTAACAGGTCAACTACAAACCCTGTAAATCCTTAATTCAACTTACTATTACTTTCAATCAGATAATGTGGAGGAGTTGAATCATTGCTGACAATATTGGATTTATTATTTTTGAATTGTTAGTACAGTACAGAATCCGTTAACCGGAAACCCAAAAAACCGGAACGAAATTCGATAAATTTTCCCGCCATTTTAAAAATAAAAATTTCCTCATAAGACTTAAGGATTTTTTTTTTTTTTTTTTTTAAAAATTTTTATCTTACCATTATTTTGGAAATAATCATTAGTGTATTACTTCATCGCTTTTTCTTCTTTTTAAGATTATTGCCAAAATTTTTTTTCTTTTTAGTTGGGTTTAACAATAAAAAAACGGCTTTTTGTAGCGATTCAGAAAACCGGAAAAATCAGTTATCCGGAATAGAGATGGTCCCGATCGTTCCGGATAATCGGTTCCCTACTGTATTTCATTTCCAATTTTTTTGGTGAAATCTGAAGAAATTTTAACTCTATATTAAAAAAACTATTTCTGCTTTAATTTCCAAGAAAAGGTATGCAACTTTCTACCCTTTTTAAAGCATGTAAATTTTTTACCTTATCCATAACAAAAGATATTGTTAAGCTATTTAACTATTGAAGAATCAATCATTTTTCTGTCACCTTCCTTTATCTTTACAAAGAAAGGAAAGAAAATGATACTGCTCATGTGAAACGTTTCAAGCAGCGGCATCTTTTGATCTCTTCATCTGGACAACACAGGTTATGAGACTCCATAAGCTGAAATGAGGCATTAAATGCTTACAATTCCTTTTCCTTAAAGAAAATTCTTTACTTCTTCTAATCAATTTGGTCCCTGTATTTAACACAGTTGGTTTAAAAAATAAAGAGAGCAGGAATCTAGTCATTGAGGTGCTCATAGAAATCAAACATTTATTCAGACACTTGACATCGATAATGAATATAACAACTCTATAAGGAATTGTGCCTAGCAGATATGTATTGTTGCATATTTCCTTTTTGTGCATCATAAGATGTCTACCTTCAAAGGCGTATTAAAACATTTTTTATCAGGTGGTGGGGATGTGTTAGGCGGAATAAACCTAATAATTGGTACCGACTGAGGAAGTGACATAGGACAAAAAGCATTAATTGAGTATCATATGAATAACTTAAATGTCTCTGTAAATAAAAAAACTTATTCATTTCTACATAGCAACATCTTATATTATGTATATATTTCAAACTTATTCATATGTTAGCTTTGTATTTAAAAAAACCGTTTCAAGTTTAAATAATATCAATGTAAATAGTTATTATAGATTATTTAATCATTTCTATATCATTGCAATTACTCTAATAACAATTTATAGTATTAAACTTCGTTGCTAGTATCACTTCTTTATCATTAGTTAAGTTAATAAAAATGGAATATTCTATAGACACACACAATTCAGGACAAAAAACTAAAAATCAGACAAAGAAAGGCAAAATATTTTTCATCTGGAATAACAAGGCAATTACTAACATTGTAAAATGTAACAATTAATTTAACTTACAACTACTTTCAATTAGATTATGTTGAGGAGGTGAAGCAATGCTGTCATTACTGGATTCATTATCTTTAGATTGTAGATCCATATTTTCCTCCTCTGTTAGCAAATCAGACTGCATTTCATTTTCCCTTTGTTCATCAAGATCTGGAAAAATTTGTTTCTTTTTAAATCATAGTAAATTTGCATCAATATTGCTTGAAAGTAACAAAAGGTTTTAAGTTTAATCTTATTATTTCAAAAACACTTCTGAAGTATCTAAAAATTCAAAACAACAAAAGAAATATTTAGTAATAATAAATTCATTTTTTATTTTTGACTCTAAATTTTATAACATATTAACGAGAGTTCTCTGAAGTGTATGGTTTTATTTACCATGGAAAAATTCTAAAAATTAAAGTTCAGAACATAACTTAAGTGCAATCCAGATATTCCAGTTCATAAATTTTTTTTAAAAAAATAGAGCTTTCTTTACAATTTTCTGTTGAACACCAATTCATTTGGTGATTAGACACTGAGGAAGTTTCTTGTTTATGGAATCAAAAATATAGTGTATCCAGTTCTTTACTTTTATTTATGCTTCATTTAATTTTTTCTTTTTTTTTGCTTTAGCCTGCATAGCACAAAGTATATCATATTCATTTTGGATTATTTATTAATATTTCCTTTATAGACAGCGAAAACGACTTCATTACAAAGTTTTACCCTAACAAAATTACACTATTTAAGACAATAAAAAACTTTATTCCATTAGGTTTCAAACATCATCATTAAGTAATATATATATATACAGTCGGACCTCGATAATTTGACACTCACTTAATTCGTCACACCGGTTATTTCGACGCTTTTTTTCAAGTCCCGATTGATTTGCATTGGATTCAGTGTTAACAAACTCCGTTTAATACCTCATGGGGAAATTATGAACTCCGGATAAAATGACACTTTAAAGAATGTTTTCACTGGGAAATTGCTTTTCTCTAGTCAACTTTTGCGGAAATTTCCACTTGGCTAATTTTGCCATTCGCTCTAGGCAACTGGTTCTTGGAATTCGGACACTGGAAGCGTTTTTCCCCTGCCCTTTTGTCTCACCCCTCCTTCCAACACGTCTTGCAGAAAGAGTTGCAATAATGCTCCTTATCTCTGACCTTACGAGGAGGTAACGGCAGGGGGAGGAAAGAGGTGGCAGAAAACGAGCATCTTGGAATGTGTGCCTTTTCTTCTCTCTCCTGCAAAACTTAGTACAGCGTAGCGGTGCAGTGGTGTCTCGAGTCTCTCTAGTCCTTGGTTCAGTGCCATGGCGAGTAAAGTTGGATACAAATCTTGGACATTGGATGAAAAGCTCCAAATAATAAGAGAATTTGAGCAATCTGGAATGTCTAAGGCTGCTTTTGCAAAACGGAAAGGAGTCCCTCGCACAACGTTCATTGCCATTTGGTCCTTAAAAGATAAAATTGAAAGTTCTTTGCATGTTCAGGATGGCGAGAAGAGAAAGAGAATGCATGTTTCGACCTTCGAAGACGTTGAAAATGCCCTTGTTAAATGGTTTAGAATGGTCCGAGCCCAAAACATTCCAATTTCAGGATTTATCTTGAAAGAGAAAGCTTTGCAATTAGCAAACGAACTGGGTGTTTCGGAGTTCTTGGCGAGCAACGGCTGGTTTGAACGGTTCAAAGAGAGACATGGACTTTCCTTCAAAAAGATGTGCGGAGAAGCAGTGGTCGTTGATATGCGTCCAGTTGAAAATGGAAAAACGGTCTCTTAAAAGATGTTCTCCAGTGTTATAACCCTTGTGATGTATTCAACCTTGATGAGACAGGTCTCTATTTTCGACTTGTGTCTGACAAGACTTTGACTTTTCAATCAAAGAACTGCTCAGGTGGGAAGAAATGCAAACAACGAGTTACCCTAGGGGCAAACCTGGATGGTTCCGAAAAACTTAAGCCTCTGGTCATAGGCAAAAGTGCAAAACCAAGGTGCTTCAAAAATGTGAAGTCTTTGTGTGTATCATATTAAACAAACTCAAAGTCTTGGATGACCTCCAATGTTTGGGAAAAAACTCTGAAAGAGTTTGACAAAAAATTCCATGCAACAAATCGTAAAGTGGCGTTTATTGTGGACAATTGCACAGCTCATACTGAGGTAAGAAACCTTCAATCAGTGGAGTTAGTTTACATGCCGCCCAATGCCACTTCAGTTTTACAGCCCCTTGATCAAGGAATAATTTCCAGCTTCAAGAGACACTATCGGAAACATCTTGTAAGAGACTGGATTAAAGTCATTGATGAAGGCAGAGAATGGAAACTAAATCTCTTAGATGGCATAAATTACATCCACAGGAGTTGGGCTGATGTGACAGATAAAACCATCAAAAACCGCTTCAGGCATGCTGGATTTGTTGAAAGTCCAATTTCATCAGAAGATGTTAATGATGATGAAGATGATGACGTCCCTTTATCTGAATTGCTCAGGCAACTTAAAGAAAGCAACAAAGATGTGATGGATGAGGAAACATACCTTGGAATTGACCAAAATCTCATGACATCTCCAGAACTAACCGTCTCGGAAATCGCGAACGAAGTCCGAGAAAGACATGTTCCAGCATCTGAAGAGAGTGAAAGCGAGGATGAAGTGGAAGTTCCTCCTTCCAAAAATGAAGCTCTGCAATGCATTGAAGTTCTAAGAAAATATTTTTCTTCAATATCTGGCACTGAGGAAGATTTGAACTCTGTGTACAAAGTCGAAAAAAGAATTATTCTTAGTAATCCCCATACCAAACAAACCCGTATTGATGGTTTTTTCATTCCTAAATAAATAAAAGTAAGTATGTAAACCATACTGTTTGTCTTTCTACTGATTCTAAGTTTTAATTGAATTGTTTTAATGCAAATTCTTTAATGTTGTTTTTATTATAAGAAATTAAAATTTCGCTGCTGTATCTAATAATTGTTAAATTATGAGTATTTTCCCAATTTTTTGAAAAACTATACAACTCCGGTTTATTCGTCACTCCGCTTAATTCGTCAATTTTCAGAGGTCCCGAGAGTGTCGAATTAACGAGGTTTGACTATATATATACAGTCAGACCTCAATATAAGGTCACCCTAAGGGACATCGCAAAAGTGACCTTAAAAGCGGGGTGACCTTTTAACCGATTCATTAGCAGTTTGTAACTAAGCATGTAAATAGTACACATTATGATTTTTAAAAATGGTCTTACAAGTGAAAAATAAATATTTAAGTCAATAAATTAAATATATTAATATTTAAGCTAATAAATTAAATATTTAAGTCAATAAATTTTAACAGAATTAGAAAAGAATTAAAGAAAGTTAGATTTTTTTTTTTTAAATTTAATTTAAAATAAAGCTGTTTACAAATTCCCCCAAAGTGTACATACATACATTATCTCTTACCTTTATATAAAATAATCATTTATACAGGTCTGTCTCATTTTTGGTTTCATTTTTCGAACAATGTTTTCTAGATTTTGTAACTTTTCAAAATGTACCTCAGCTCTCTCATGGTTTGTAACATAATTTCGTATGACATTTATTGCATTGAAGGCTTCCACTTGGGTTACAACTACAGATCACTTTCATTGTCCTCACTGTCCACAATTTGCGAAACTCAGAAATTGCTCAGAATTTCAGAAATTGCAGCTTCAGAAGTAGTGGCAATTTTCTCATCAATCAAACCATATTCAGCCTCCCCTTCAATGGCATGGCCACGATTTTTCAGATCTTCCGTCAAAACAGATAGAGGAATATCGTCTTCTTCTTCGGTTTCATCATCCACAATATTAAAAAAACTCACAAAACCAGCATGATGAAAACAATTTGCTATGCATGTGGTGGATACCATGTTCCAACTTTCGTACACATAGAAAATGGTATCCAAGACAGTAACGCGAAACTCCTTTTTTTGGTCGATGGCAGCGATTAAGTCTTTCAGGAGGAGCTTATGATAGTTCACTTTTAGGTTTTGAATAACTCCTTGATCCAATGTTTGGAGAACGCTGGTCACATTGGGAGGCAAGAAAACAAGCTCAATCGAGGCTAACTGGGGGATGTTGGTATGGCTGTGCAATTGTCTGCTATAAAAACAACTTTTGGCTTCTTTTTCACAAATTGCCTGTCTAAACGCCGTATTGTTTTCTCCCAAATGGTGACGGTTATCCACGCTTTTTTGTTAGCATCGTAATCCACAGGGAAAGGTTTCCGTTTTCAAAGCAACGTGGCTTTTGGAATTTGGAACTAATAACAAGAGGTCTCAATTTTTCAGAGCCATCCATATTGGCCCCTAAAAATACTGTAAGTTTTTCTTTACTTTTTTTGCTACTTACACATTTTTCATTTTTTAATGCTAGCAATTTTTTATAAATGCATATCCTTGTTATAATTTATTCAATGTATTGTTATTAGAGAAGGTACATTTTTTGAAGAAAAGAAGTTTGCCTTTTTCAGTGGTTTAAAAAAAATTTATAAAAGCCAGTAAAATATTGAATAAATAATGGAATATTGATTGGATTTAAATATAATTAAAAGTCTCAAAATTATTAATGGTTTAAAAAAGAAAAAACTCAGAAATGATTCCCGAAGGTTTTTAAAAGTCTATTTTTGTAAATTACCCACAGACATTTTTAATATTTTATGTACTACTAAATGCGTCCAGGGGTAATAAATGTATCATTTAACGTAAAAAACTATTTAAATTATTAAAACGAGTTTGATATTTAAAACTAAACGTTCATTTAAGAGTTATGCTTAAGGTAAAACATATGCATTCACAAGGATCAGTTTTAAGTGCAAATAGAATAGAAAGATTTATTCTTTCAACATTCATAAAATTATGTCGAACGTTTCTTTTCCTCCTGCTTTTCATTTTAAATGTCATTTAAACTAAGAAATTTAAAATATTAATGGAATCACTAAACTAAATATGTGTTCATTTTCTCGTGTTTCATTTTCATTTCAGGCGTCGGTTCAATTATTAAATTATGAAGAAAATTAAAGAAATAATGCAGAAAAAAGAAAAATCTCTTCTAATTGCTTAATTATTAATTAATTGGAAGAAAATAATTAAATTATGAAGAGGCTTTATAAACTTAATGTATAGAACTACTATAGAGAAAAATCTAAAATTTA